AATTCATTGCCAATAGTAAATTTGCCATAGCAAACACTTCTCTGTTTGTTCACATTTTTTTATTTCAAGAAAGGACTATGAGTTGGTGCAGTAACAATAAAGAAATCAAAGAAAACCCACAGAAGATGATTCCTCTGGACACAAAAGAAATCTAAAGAATAGCATGTGTAGGAATGAAACACTGACTCCTGTAACACACGAGATGATTTCACAGCCCATTACTGATCACATAACTCCTTGTTGCTATTTGACTACTAATTTAAGCATTGCAGATGAAGATTACCCTTACTAGTATTTATTTTTATTAAGGTTGTGAGATACAGGAGAAAATATAAAATGATAAATAGGTGAAAGAGAGGAACACAAATGACTACAAAGATCATCAATATGCAGTATAAATAGGTTGAATAGTTAACAACAAACCAATTTGTGGATGCTCCAAGTAGAAAATAAGTTGTATGCATACATATTCAGCCATTATTGCTAGCTGGTAATTTGCATCAAGAATTAAGGGATAGCAGATTCATTAAATGTATTTTAAATGGAACCTTGTCTATGAAACATGGTTATGAAATAAAGACTTACATTTTCCTCTAAGCCACACAGGAAAGGAGTTACTTACCATAAATAAAGCTTTTTTTCAACATGCTTTCCGCCATGTCAACTTAAATAAAACTCTGGGATAACTTCTGGAAGGAATAGGGAACAGATTTGCAGAGAGCCTTGTTGGAGAAAAAGGGCAAGGAAGGTGGAGCTTTCTGACATTTGATCTTGAATTTCTGTAAACTTTTCAGAAGAAATAATAGTCACCATGGAAGGTGCAAGCAAAAGGTGACCAGAATCAAATGGCTTTCCCCATAAGATACCAAGGCCTCACTGGAGAAAGATGAGTGGGAGAAGTAGAACACACTTAAAGAATACTAACCCTCTAAGTCTAAAAGTAGCCAAAGTGGGAAAAAAATACAAATCTTCCCCAAAAGGTGCAAGGATTAAATTACTATCAGATAACCTCTTAGTCCCTTCCATTTTTTAAATTTCAAAATAAAAAGTAGTGAAACTTCAGTGAATAACAGAAATCTAGCCATACAACTCACAGAAAGCCTGATCCACTTAGCTCTCTACCTTTTCCCAAACCAAGTAAGAAGATCTTGCACAAGGAAGGAATAAATCTGCTCTGTGCCCATGAACTTGTCCAAGCTGTGAGATACAGGAAATAGAGGGCCAGGTGAGTTCTGATACGAATTCTGGCAGTATGGCTCAAAGACCTAAAACCTACTCTATACTGACAGAAAACATAGGTCTTCGGATCAGAATGATTTTGACCACATTCATCTGGCACCATCTTGCCTTAACCTTCTGGACACCTTCAAAAGAAGCAGAACTGGACAAAAGATGTTCAACAGGCAATTGACTCAGAAATGGGGAATAAAGACCTCAGGGCCAGACAAGTTCTGGAAGGGCGAACTTCTATTTCCATTGTTTTTTTGATGCAAAAAAAGTTGACCATGGATTTGAAATCCCCAGTCCCATTAAAGATAGTCTTTATAATGTCCTCTCAGATTTCCCATTTACAGGAGTCTGGCATTTGGAGCACCATAAGTAACCTTCACCATCTAAGCCCAGCTTGGACAAAAATGCCCTCTGCTACTGTAGCATCCTGAGCCTTCAGGTGCCTGAAAATAACTGCAGCGAAGGTACTATACACATATTCATGGTGAGCCCCGAACAACTGAAGAAAAAGGGAAGTGAAATCCATAAAGAACCTGGTATTATTCTAGAGAGGTATGTTCATTGGCAAACTGTCAGATAAGGATAAAAAAAACCTAATGGTTGTACTTATTTATCATTAGAAGCACAAATATGTGAAGTCTCTGAACAGCAAAAACTTTCAAGAAAAGGAAGTTGTACTGGTAGTGGTCCATGATGTAAGCCAGGAAAATCTCTTTATGGAAATGAGTGTCTTCAAGATCAAGAGACATGAAGTAATATCCCCTGTTGAAGTGAAGTTATTATCACCACTGTTGTAATCATCCTAAAATCATACTAGTGATTAAAGACCTTTAGCTTCTTAAAGAGTTGTCTCTACCCTCCACACCTATTAGGACTAGCTCTGTAAAATCTGGACCCTCTGCTCCAAGATGAAAGGCTCTGTAAATTATAAAGGTAAATGAACATCTCTCTCTCAAAAAGCCCGGTCTCCTGGCAAGGGCTTTTGAAAAGAGGTGGGAAAAAAGGCTTGAGGAATAGGCTGGGAAGAGTGATTGCTGTCACCATGGTGTTCAACGCTATGCTATTTAGGACAATATGGATTCAGATCAACTGTCAACAGCCTGAATCCAAAGAAAGAGTATACACAAGAAACAGATAACAGATAACAAAAGAACTGGGATGACTATTGTAAGGAATGAAGAAATGTGTGCAAAGTGGAGTTTTGAGCATAATTAGTCAAGATATTCAGAAAGAGGAGCCAAAGTTGTAGCATTTAAGATCTGTAATTTGGCTTCTGTCAAAACGCTGTTGTGAAGCTTCATGGTTATGTCAGTGTGGGCACAGAGTCTCTAGGATTGAAGTACTTGTCCAGTGTTAGCTGAGAGACAGTCTCCCTCCGATGGACAATCTTCAATTGCGGCTTGCAGTTCATGGGCCATTCAGAGCTGTATGGCCAAAACAGTCTTCTTCAGAAAGTAAGACACAACATGCTATGTTATCTAGCCTCTTGCAACTTGAAAGAAAAAATTAAGTACCAAAAAAGGGAATTTATTTATCTTAATCTTCCAAAGCATGAAATCCATCTAATATCAGATATTGGACTTAGAACAGCAGAGTCTGGTAATCTGCTATTCTTAGTTGAAGGGGGGGAGAAAAGCAATTTTCTTCCCCCTCTACAACCAAATGTTTAAAGCCCTTGCCAAAAGAAGCAAAGTGAGACTGTTCAAAATGTGCCAGAACCACAGCAACAAAAACGGGAGTCAGTGGAGGGTGAGCAAAAAGGAAAATCCAAACCACCTGCTGATACTTGGTAGCATCTGTCACTGTACAAGAAGTGGGAGCACATGAAGGCAATGCTTGCCAAAGCACTTGAGATGGGAGCAATATGGCATCATTCATCAACGCGGTTGTATCAGCTAGCGTAGACCCTACAGAATATCAATCATGCACAGAACAAAATGTTGGGAAACCATTAGAGAGATCTGTAGAGTACTCAACTGCCCTCTGTGGTAATGCTTAAAGGTTTTGTAGAGGTTGACATAAATGTTCATCCCCAAATGAAAAGTAGAAGCAGCTCTCATTCATGATGCCACTAAGATGTTCAAGAGCAAGGGGCTGTTTGCACTTTTGCCCTTCATGTAAGTATGGGATATGGTAGTCTCCTGAGGTGACATCTTCGGGGGGAAGATGAGGGGGTGCTGTGGAGGCACAAGTTACTTCTTGTCATCAGCTGAGCCTGCTTACTGGAGAATACATGTGGGAGACATGATCATCCCAAGAGCTGATGCCTTTCCTGTAACGACATTTCTTAGGTCAGAGACTAAAGACAAAAGATAAATCCTCCTCCTTACACGAGGGTGGATATTGAGCAAGAGGTAATAATCCCATAAGCCAAGGGTGTTTTCAAGGTTACTGAAAAGCTCCTCAGTCTTGTCTTTTGGTCTTTATGAGTAAAAATTTAAGGCTGATTCACCCCTCTTAGAGGGAGGTAAGTAAACAGTGATGTGGTGCAAGCACGGATACAGCCCAGAAATACCAGTCATTATTTCCTACAACCTCTATAAAGACAATAGACAAAAGATGTATCAGTAAAGGTAGAAACTCTAGTGAAGCTCCAGCCTCAAACTGAGGGACACTGTGAGTTGCGGCAGACCCTGAAATATCACAAAGGTGATCATGAAATCTGGTGACAAGAGCACCAGGAAAAAGCTCAGAACATTGTAATCATTTTGTGATTGTGCAGACATGCTCCATTTTTGCTTCAGCTATAGCAAACGTTCCCTCCTTACTGCCAGAAAAGGCAGCACAAACAGAAAACATGCATCTCAAGTACCTCTCTGTGCATGAGGAATCAAAGCATCAGGCAGGATATCTAAGGTTTTTCTCTTTATTATGAGTGGACCTAGAGTGAGACCTGAATTTCTTCTCCCTGGATGATGGCAGAAATTCAGTCTCTTGAATCTGTGGCTCAGGAAAACGGTCAAAGATGAATTTTTAATATTTTCTTGGGAATAACTTTCTCAATCTGTACTTGAAGTCTCACTACACAAAACACTTGGATGGAATAAAAACTTCACCCAGACAAAACAGGAAGTAGATACTTTCATCTCAGAGAGCATAAAGCCAAATATTTTGTTGAAGAATTCCTAAGTGTGGAAGTTATGCTGTCCCATCAGAATCAAAATTTGAGCTCATAACAAAAAAGGATGTTTAAATAACTTGAAAATATTTTTTAAATTACAGATAATCAGAGTAGAGCATGAAATAAAGTATAATAGAAGGTCCAAATGATCTTCAATAAACAGCAATTAATCATAAAGAACTATGGTTCAGACACATGTGGAAGTGAATGCTAGGTGACAGGCTGTACTCCGTTGCTTATACCATGCCCACAAGTCCAACAGGCTGACTAGGCGAACAAGTTTCTAGTTCAAAAGATTGCACAGCTGTACACTGAAAAGATGCGGAAAAGCGCTTGATGGTAAATATGGGATGACAATGTGTGAATGCAGAATTCATTCATTCACCTCTAATTTATGCTTTTTGATTTCTTCAAAACTTAATCCCATACCAATTACTTAGAATTCTTAAAGATGTGAACAGAAAGACTTCAGGGATAATAATTTTTATATACACACATACACAGGGATAGATCACGTGTATTATTACATAATTATATATTACACAAACACGCATATATAAAAGACCACATTCAGCTTGACGAATATTTCTGGATGAAAAGTCACCTCTTTTAAGTGCTACCATAATTTCCAAAAACTGTATTCACATACCTTTGCATAAGCAGTAGTTTTGATAAACCACTGTCTGAGGTATTTCTGTTCCACTTTTGCTCCTGAACGCCATGAGCAACCATTGTCGTCCACCTGTTCATTAGCTAGAACAGTCTGATCCACTGGATCCCAATTAACCAAGGCCTAAAAAAAGTTGCAGGAAGAAAAAATATTTTCAGCAGCTATTTCAAAACCAGAATCTTCTTTTTCAGACACCAAAAGAATTATCCAGAAACATTCTTTGGGCCCCCGAGTTTTCTACATTTTTATAGCACCCATCTGAATCAGTGACATGGACTCAACTGAAGATGTTTTGAATATTCATCCTCTCAGAACTCCAAAAACCCAAGAATGCAGTTGGCAGCATTTGCCTTGATTGATCATGCTAGCAGGATAGGTTGACACTTGAATATTAAATAGGTAAGTGTTCCAATTGACTATATTGCAAACTACATAGTCTGATGCTTAAAAGCTGCCCACCACTAACCCAAAAGCGTTGAGTCAGACTGAGGGGGATGAATAACCAAGGAGCTCCAACTTGAGAGGACATAATCACAAATCAAACTCACTCACCCCAGTGTTGAACAATTTAGCTGAGCATTTATCATAAAGGCTCTAAGACCACAAAAGAATCCTAACGGTCATTCCAGAAATGGTACTCAATGCTAGACATTAACTTGAAAAAATGAACAGAAAGGGGAAAAAAAAAAAATCAAAGTGATAATGAAGAGCAATCCATTATTTTGACCATTTTTTAGTATTTGAGCTAAATCAAAGTTAAATCAGCCTGACTGAAAAACAGTAGCTCCAGCTCCACAGCGTTCTAATACATTAAACATTATTTGAAAATTTCAAATGCATTCTTTGGGTATGGGGAGGACTTAGTACCTCAGTCTAAAAACTAATCACTGTCCTCATATTACTCACTTTACATTTTATCTATCACTGATCACATTCTGAAATGCCCCAGTTTCCAAACAACTAATATTGCTTAGTTTTAAATATGCTACATATTCTTAGAAACAGTAAAATATCACAACTATTTTACAAATCTTATAGTGAGGACAGCAGAAAGACGGATGCATGGATCATCCTCCTTCGGAATACTGTTGCTGGTTTTGTTATCAGTGTGTGGTATATGTCTGTGTGTGCGCACGAAGTCTGATTACCTACACCGATTTATACAAAATTTATCATAATGAAATGAATGAAAGTCATTCTTCGATGAAAACAAACTCACTTTCAAATGAAGCTTGTGTGAATTCAGTATGTCACTGGAATTTAAACTTTTTACTGTTTGCCTACCTTTTATCTGTTATCTACCAGTAACACCACCGTTTTTTATAAAAGGCTTTTGAAAATTCATTGGGAAATTAAAAGCAATCAATACATTCCACTATCACAAATCTATTTTCTAGACTTTCAGAACACACAACTTCTTCAGTAATGATACAACACATTATGAAGTTGGCTCTAAAGTAATGATCTTTTAATTTATAAGTTCTGAAAAAAACCCCACACCACTACAAATTTAAAATAACAGCTAAAGAGAGATAAATCAGATAATATTAAGAATTAATAAAATGCCATAAAGCAGTATTAGCATATGCTTGTATAAAGTTGCATAAAGCAGTATTAGCATATGCTTGTATTAAATTGGCTATGACTCAAAGTTGAGAAAAAATACTGTTTCTGTTTTGATAATATTGGATCAAACTTACGATGAAAATTTTAGAAGGTAACTGAACTGATCTATAGGAGTATAATTATTTAGCATAACATTCTCATGATTCATAACAGGAAGATTTATCTAAATAAATCATGCAAAACAAAGCAAACACGCATTTAAGAAATCGATAGCTGAAAGGTCTTGTGTGTGAATTTTTAGAGTTGCATTTTGTTCCTTCCACCTCTCACAGCCTTTTGACTAATATCCAGAACCTGGGTATTAAATTAAATCCTTAGTTCCTACTCGTACCTCACACAGGCAACCTCTTGACAATGACAGCCTCTGAAACTATGGCCTCAGGAAGCTGCTAACTGTCATCTACACAAGAGAGCACAGTGCAAAAGTCTACAGAGACCACAAATTATTTAGATCTCCTCACTACACCAATGCAGACCATATGCTTTTAAGGCAGGATTCATCTCATCTACCTTCAGGTATCTATAGCATAAGTATCTATCTCCAGGTTTGGTGTCTATGGTTCCACTACAGTCTACAGATACCTAATCAAAATAATCAATAGAGTCTAGGCAGAAATTAATCTCAAGCTAAATATGACACCCATACCTGGCCAGCTCAATAACCTCTACAGAACATTGACTAGATCAGTATTGCAGGAAGAAGAGAGAGATTTTGCTACAGTGAATAAAGATGCCCTCTATGGATGCTGCAGCACCCAGACGGACATTGTTAATTCTCACTAATTCCAGCTCCCGGACATACCGAGTCTGTGTCTCCCTACCAGGGTAATTTCTGGCCAGACACACATACTCCTGGAACAGAGCGTTAACTAGACTAACGCTCTACATACATTATTCTTATCACCACAGTAAGGCTACGAATTATCTCCTTGTACCCACAATGAAATTGTCAGACAGGAGACTTCAAGCTGTGCAAAAGTACTGCCTAACATATATTGCAGGTAGGCTGAAGACATGGGATAAATATAAGCATTAAGTATATATGACTGTTTGAAGGGACCCAGGGTTATGGGCTATCTCTACCATCTGTTTCCTGCCAAAAAGCAACTGGTTTATATCCACCAGAGATTACATCCCCTACTGGTTGACAGATGCTGATTTAAGTCTGCAAACTGATCCTTGACTCTTAAGAGAGAAGCAGATGCAATCACTGGTACCCAAACACCTCCAGGATCCCACAGTACAGGGAGCCTGCATGCACAATTTGTTTTGTGTATCACCACTCCTTCTAACGATGCAGCAAGCCTTGTGCTTTTCAGATTCATCTGGGATCACTCGTCAAGCAAGTAAATTTACAGATAAATATAAGTTTGTTATGGCAAAGGTAGGGGTTTAATTTTTTTATTACAAACACAGAAAATAATTACAGAAACACCTCCCCCCGCCCCAACCCAGCATGTTAGGACATATCAAATATTGAATCTTTTTGCTGGTTGTCATTTAAGATCTCTGAATACATCTTGCCTATGGAAATAGGAGAAGTAGCTCAGTAACACCCTGCCATTCCAAATGCTACCTTTCACCATCAACGTCTTTCTCTGGGTTCAGAGAATAATTAGTGTACATCCCTAATTATATCCTATGGGGTTTCCTGGTTTCTATAGAATACAAATGAAACGTCAAAGCGTATTTAAGAAATCTTAGTTTCCATTTTAAGTTAGAAACGTTCACTAAATTGCAGCTTTCTTTAGGTGCAGCTGTTCAGGTATTTTGCAACTGCGTTGCCTTGGCTATACAGAGAGTTCTTTGGAATGCTCATTTAACATCTTTGTTTCACCTCTTGCTTAAGAAGTTAACTGAACCCTTCCCTTTCCAGATAGCCTGATACATATATTTACAAAATATTATAGGGTCAATATTTTATTAATGTACTCTAACAGAAAAACAGCTGTGATAGTCTTACAGCATCTAATATTTCTGTAATGTTTTAGAGATCACAAACAGGGTCCAGGAATTTGATGGTTAGCCACATAATCTCCAACTATCCTATCCAATCCTATCAGTTCTGAGACAGCATCACAGTAATGTTATACAGTTAAATAATCTTACTGCTGAAGAGACTCCTCATGATCACATTATCTTATATGTTTTCATGAGAGGGAAGTTAAGCCCTAGAAAATTCTATATTAAAGCCATGAAATAAACTAATAGTAGCTATATTCTGATCCTGCACTTCAATGTAAATCACTGAAAATAAACATTTGACTCACTACAATACTCATTCATGTTAGTTAGTTACATATAAAATTTACCTACATATATAATTCAGTTATATATAAAATTCATTATATTTTGCAGTGATTTAAAACCAATAGAGCACAAAATACCTATCCACTTAATGAATGTGAATGGATGATCCAGAAACGTGCCACTGACATAATGAGTGACTTGAGTTAGTGCACCTGCAAAGTATTGAAGGTCAAAGTTTGTACCTACCTCTTTTTGATACACTATCCCAGCTTCAAAAAGCTTAAGAAAGAGATATTGTGTCCATTTGTAGTACTCTGGTAAGCAAGTGGTTATTTCCTGCAGAAATGAAATAAAATAAAAATTCCTGAAGCTATTCTTAGTATTTTCTCATGGCTTTTTAACTTAGACAATTAACTCAGGAGTGTATAATATACGCCACAGAGAAAACATAAATGCAGTTTGGGGGAATGTTTACAATGAGTGATATTCAAAACCAGAGAACAGGGGCTTTGTGTGGGTTTGATGTGCAAAGAAAAGTTTCCCTGTTAACATGGAATATAAGAACCCTATAAAATCAATGCTGATAGATACAAGAACAGAAGATGAAAGGAATGACCACAGCTACCTGACCAGGGAAACAGCAAAACTAGTAGAACTCTATCAAATAAGTCACCTTAGCCGCGTTGCCTTTTCCTCTGTTGCTCAGCAATGAAAAGCAGGAACAGTCGACTGCTCAGAGGCAGCCGGGAGCTGGCTGCAGGGAAGCAAGCAGGCTGGAGGAGCCTGCAGCTGAAGCTGGAGATGCAGAAGGACAGCAGAACGGCACTGAGGAACCGAGGGTGTCGACAGATAGAGCGTGCGGGGCAGACAGGAAGGGGTAAGACTCTAAACTTCAAGATGAAAGACTTGCAAAGGATATCTCACAATCAAAGGTCAGATAAGCAACCATTTTAAAAGGCAAGCCAGATCAAGGTAGGAGAATGCTCTGGGTTAAGGAGAAGGAGAGAGAGTCGTGAAAGAAGTCACAAATGAGGGGGACTGTTAAGAGGGAAATAAAGACAGATAAAAATAAAAGAGAACATATGAAGAAGGAATGAGAGTTAAAAGAACAGCAGGTAGCAATATAATGGATAGCTTTTTTTAAACTTGCGAACGTTTTATACGTTTTTAGTGAACTTTCGTAATTAAAAAACAACCTACTTATCACCTGCTTACAAAGTTCCATATTTTAAATGTTTGTTCTTAAAAAAACAAACTGCATTTCAAATAAACATCTCAATATGTAGAGATGACTACAGGATTACATGATTACAGACTCCCAGTTTTCTCTACACACACGCAGTGTTTTATAGGCACAATGGATACACATACACTTTCACCCACATATTTTCAAGTTTGGCCAAAGTGAAAACAACTGTGCAACTCAGTATTTAAGCTCTAATTACATCATAAATATGTAACAATAAACAGATCACATTTCCGTCCTCAACAGCTTTCCTGTTTAACTTGCACTTGTTTAAAGAAGAAACATTTCTACAAACTTTCTGTTTGACCACATTTGTACTTACTGAAGTGGAAGATGAACGTCAAATCAACAAGAACTTCTCTCGATTTTAGAGTTACAGAGTTGACAGCAAGCCACTGATAAAATTTATTCCGTTTGCAAATAGTTATCAACTACCTGAAGTAGCTCCAAATGTGAAATGTCTTTCACCCAGGCTTTCCTATCATCTAAGCTTCCCACTACACATGATATCAGCAATATCATCTGCTACTCAAATGACATCTGAAACACTCTAGTATAAAAATTTTATTCTTTTTCTACAACTTTCTATTCTGAAACGTCACTTTGAACAATTAATATGACCTTTGAATAGACATGCCTCAAAGTGTGTATAAGAGGCTTTCAAGACCAGAAAGAGACACTTAATGGCAAGTTTTCAGCACAGCATGTGAAGACTTAGTGATGAAAAACAGTTGCTTGATTAAATCCCTTTGCTCTGCACTGAAAAAAATACTTGATAAAAGTCTGGTTTCCATCTCTCCAACTAAACACTATCCAGTTAATAAATTTTTTTTTTTTTCCCCCCTGCTTCTCCACACAGTGGAGTTCTTCTGCCAGTGTGATGCCACTAAGGCAACGGAGCTTCATCACTGTAATATGAGAGAGACAAAAGAAGAGAGACAATCCCTTTTGGTACAATACAAGATTATGTGAGCAACAGGCAAACAGGTAAGACAACCAAAGCGAGTCGTCAAATAAAAATAGTAAAATGGACTGAGATTTGTCCTTTTGGTCCTGAACGGCAGATGCGTGTTAACCGAAACAAAAAGAGATGACGTTTCTCAGCCTAAGCAGGCGTGTTTAGGACACGGTACAAGCTACCTCCTGGGAACAGATTCTCATGTCCATGCTCTCTCTCACAAGTTGTAAACTGACATTTTTTAGAAAGAAATGCAGCAGACTGTTATCACTGAAGAAAATTTGTGTGGTCATTGAGCTGCAAAAAGATCACCCAAGCTCATCATTTAACTTTATAACCAAGAAGGTTTGAAGTAACATTTGAAGTTAACAAAGAAAAAGAAATTACATCACTACCAAGTGAAATGAGCTGCTGATGACAACTGGCAACCTCTTGTCAATCTCAAAATATGTTTTGGTTTTATTCTTACCATTTAGCACATTAAGACTTACAGTGAAATATAATTTTCCATATGTGCCAGTTACTGATCTTGATTAAATAAATAACGTCTGGTAAAATGTTTCCATTAGGCTGCTATCATGCTTAAATTAAGGTGAATGTTAACATTTCTATTTATACTTTATAAGCATGGCAAAGATTTGCAGTGCATTAACAGAACTGACTTAACGCAGAAATACAGAAAAGAGTTTATAAAACGGTTTGCACAATAGCGCAATGAAGCCCTTGCACCCTGCCAAAAAACGTAACTTTCTGCTTCTCATTTGTGAGCTGCGCACTAGCATAACAGCATACGTACAGAATCCCGTATCATAAAGCAATTCAGTGAATATATATAAACAGGATATTAGCATATTTTCTCCAAAGATAAAATACATACTAAAAATCAGAACCCTTTTTACAAATATGAAGCATGATGCTCAGCTGTCCACTGCATGTGCTCTTCAGTGCTCTGTGACAGATTCAGTGATAACCCATCACCCCAGCATTTCAGGAGGTACTATGAAACGGGAGGCACAGCATCTCCCTCTTCCCCCCAACCATTTTCCCTTTTCCCTTTGTCAGCTTGCTGGTTAAAAAGAGTATCGATACTGTCACCGAAATGCATCTTTATCATCGGTTACCGTTACTGCACCTTATTCCTACAGGAATGACACTCATTCATTAAAACAATTCATTAACACAATTAAAACAAACCACCTTTAAAAGTGGTCTGCTTTTAAAAACAGCAGATATTGCCAAAGTATGTAAGAGAAAGATCCCTACCCTTACCAAAAACTACCTTGCTTAATCCCTTTATCGGAGCACAGCAATCTGTTCCTAACAAATAGCATGATGGAGGGGTTAGTATCTTATTTATTTTTGCAAATAAATTCTCAATTACAGACTAAATAGTGGTATTACAATTTAGATTTGACAGCAGTGCGACTTGGGAAGCAACCAGTTCATGTTAAGGTTAAAGGGCCACTCATTATTGAAAAATATGATAAAAAACTGCCAGCTACCAGAAATATGGGAAAACCAACAGTAAAGAATCCTGGATAAACAAAAAACCCGCAAACTGGATGGAAGATTTTGGTCATTAATAAAAGAAAATATAATTTTCAAATGCCTTGTTTTACAATTCATCACTTGTTCTAAATCTGTTCCATTCTTACAACTTTATATTATGTAGCTCTGAACCTAAAACTGGTTTTTGTTTGTTTTTTAAGAAGGTTACATCTTCAAGCTACTTTCATGGCTTTTTTTTTTTAAATAAAAGAAACACTTTTATGCAGCCTGTAAATGTTCATTTGTTGTAAGATCCACCAGGCTTTGTGAATAACTAGACCAGAGAGAAGTAATTTGCTAGTTTATTACTAATAATTTTATTTCTAGCACAGTCTTATGCTATCCTGAAGACAGCCATGTTGCACTTGATACTTATTAAAAAGGTGATAAGGAGAAAAAGTCTGAATGGATTTTTTCAAGATCTATTTGGGAAGATTAAACAGTCTTTAATCTATTATTTGCCTATTTTGGTATTAAAGGGCATGTACCACCTCATCTGGAAGTATAATTATTTGATATTCAGAGGTTTAGAGCTAGACCAAACTACATTTCTAAATTCTTTTGAATATTTGTATTTCAAAGGCCCTTAGTTTCATGCTTTATTAGCTACAAATACAAACATCATGCAGTGCCTACATTTTAGAGCACAAATATCTTTCCTGCAAAAAAGTAGCCTTGTATCAACAGTTTCCTTTTTTTTTTTAATTACAAGTAGGGTGACTGATTATCAGTGATATGTGGATAAAAAGAAAATTTAATAGGTAATGCTCTATCTACTGTTACAATTTTATGCATGCTTGGGCAGGGCACAAAAATGACAACTTCAAAACTAAGCAGAAAAATATCTGCACAAAGAAAATCTACCAAAGATTTCATCTTTTTTAATGTACAGAGCAGAACGGGAACACTACTCTTACGCAAAAAAATTATGCCACTTGGCATGCATGAATTGAAAAGACTAAAAAATGTTGGCAGTATGAGCTACCTTCTAGAACAAAGTTACAGATTGATAAAACAGTGGTGAACTGATAGCTTGTTGGGAACATTCATTCAGTCTGATGGCACTCCTGAGCAAAAGAAAGAAAAAATGTTATACGCTCTCCATCCCTTGTTGCTGATGATATGAATCTTCGAAAATGATATTACCTAATTCCCTTTAAAATCATGTTTAAAAAAAGTGGCAGGCAGTTTGCTATGCTGTCTGGTATGGGATTTTGGAGAAATCTGATCAGCAGGAATGCCCAAGTTATCGTTTTCTTAAAAACAAAACATAACCACAATGATTTTTTTATTTTCCAGGTGTTTTTAGTGTCACTCAGAGACATTTCTTCCATCCTCAAACTGCAGCTTTTTAACCCTGGATCTGACAAACATAAATGTTCAGAACAGAAATGTTCTCTCTCGTCTTTATTATTTTTTAAAAATCTCTCCCCCAAAATCATACCATTTTCAAAGTGATTTAAAAATATAACAGTTGTTACTTGAGGCACTTAAAATACCTACATGTTTCAAGGAAAAAGCATCAGATCACTATTAGTATTCAAAAGTACTCTGAAGCAAAGTACTTACAGAGCTATTTTATGCATTTAATTACATTTTTAGCTTGCTTACGTTTTCTGTTTAGGAGAATAATTTTCAAGTGCCTTTGTAACCTCGCTTTCTGAAATAATCTAATTAGCTTTTAACAATGCCTTATTTGTGGTGCCTTACTGGTTAAGTAATTTCACTGACTGCTACAACATAAAAATACTTTTGTATTTTGATTTGTAAGACACAGAGAACAATGAAAAAACCCCAGCTAAATAAAAGGAAACTTCTAGTATCCCAGGTGCAGTGGGATTTGTTCATAATAATTTTACCAAGCAATAAAACTACAACTAGTCTTCATATTCCTGGACAGGACTTTCTTGAACACCAGACATGAGTTTGTAAGCAGTCAGCTTCTTCAGCACAGCTACATGCACGAGGTATTCAAAATGTACTTTTTATTATTTTCCCACTTGTTTTCCTCCTTAACATTTGTAAAATGGTAAAATTTACTTATGTTTCCTTTACGTCATCTAAGCATATACTCTAAGCTGGCCACAGAGGACAGAGACAGTTAACATAAAAGGTTCGCACTTTAAAAAACCAATTCACCGCACACTAAGATAGGGATCTAAGGCAGGGGAATGGGTTCCCTCCAGCATATATTTGCTAGGTACTATGCTCTAGCACAATGAAGGAGCACACTTAAGCAACACCAATGAAATTAAATTAAACACAAACTTCTGTTTTGTACAATAGTCTTCGTTAATTAGACTAACCCATATAAAAAGTATTTTTCTTGCATTTTTTATAGGAGTCACTGACGCTAGTGGGTTTGTTTGCATTGTCACAGTATTTTGTAAGCCACTGATTTAGTGCCATACAAGTACAGAATAATAATAAAAAAATATTCCTTACCTCAAAGAGCTCACTTTTAAGATAAGTACCTGCACAGCGCAGTGCATTGCTGTGCAAAGATGCTTCAGTTAGCCCAGAAGCAGCACAGCTGAGGCAGTAAGATGCTCTGCCCAGCCTAATTAGCCTTGCAGAGAAGAAGGCTTTATCAGCCTGGAAAATACACTCTGTCGCAGCTTAGCCATTCTGCTTCTAAAGGTAGTTCTTTCATGGCTAGCTCAAATATCCATGCATTTGGAAATCATGTAATACAGATATATTTCAGGCACCATACATTTTTTGCAATGAATAAACATATCTATTTCTAATGGTTACCATTCAGGTCGCTCTTACTCCAGTTGATAAGGCAGGCTTACTAGATAAAATAAAACTTAACTAATAAGCTAAGGAGTGAAAACTCCAAAATTCATTGTGTTTCAAAGAACACTTTTTAGCTGTTTTAAAATCTTACCTTTCAAAACCACAAACTATGTGCCCCTAGAGGATTCTAATTATTTTAATTACACAACTGTTCAAATTAACTTAGTTGTACAGCATCAAAGCCCTTTTCACAAGTATTCAGAGACTTCTGAAAGTTCATTAACCAAAACATGGTTTACTGGAAAAGTGAAGGTGAGCCTCAAAGAACAGGCACAGAGATGAGAAATTACTTTCCCTGGTACACTTATACTTCCTGCCATGGTTTTCAGTACTGCCAGTTCTCCATCTCTTCTTCAGAACGGAAGGGTTAAACAAAAGTCCATATACAGAAGTGAATTTTCTCATCTTTCTTGAAAGGCACTCTGCTACATTCAACTCCGCTGTGTTCCATAATACAGCCTACACATATGATTTCACTGTTTTGAAGTATTGCTGTATTACACATACAGAAAATCTCTGAGAAACTAACAGTTTTAAATATAAGAAAATAATTGTCAAGAATGTGTGCAGTAAGCCTTCCACAACAAACCTTTTATTTTCAGAGCAACTTTCTGGCTATCAAGAAAATGAAAATCTTACTAAAAAGGCTTATACTGAAAATCTTGCCATATATATGACACGATGAAATATGGTTTTTGGATGTAAGACATACAAATAAACAACTTCACCTTCAAGATTAAAGAAAACAGATGGCAGGTCTCAGACTGCCAGAAAACTAATCCTTTTCCTTTTCAGATCTACAATACTGCTATAAAAACCCAAGATTAGCATCTCCATCACTCTATTCAGATTCATATTAAGGTGATAAGCAACAGTTATTGCTGAGAATATAAAGGTAGTGACTGACTTTGTTTCACTGGTAAATGCAGTAACCTTACAATTGCTTCAAAAATTAATTTCTTTTTTATCTTGAAAATGACATTAGCTTATGTCTGATTATGTTAAGGTGAACACCTGATTCTCAAGCATTAGTGTTTTAAATAAAATTTCTATTTTCCAAAACAGTCATGATATATGAAAATGCAGACTTATGCTTCAAATTTAGAATAACATAACCAAACCACCATTTGAAATTACTAGCTTTAAACCCTTGAGTATATTATAAAAACATACACATTGAAAAAGGCACTCCTCAAAACATATATACCTTAACACAAAGGCATGCTGCTTCAAAAATATCTATTTAGACTATCGCCTAACTTCTAACACAGAAAATTGCTACTTTGAAAGAGCCGAAAAAGCAAAGAAAAATCGAAATGCAAAACTGAAATTACTTTAAAGAAAAGAAAGATTCTCCTAAACCTTGAGATTATCAGATTGTCAGTATGCCAACAATAAGAGAAATTCGATAAGAAGCTTGAGAGAAGCTCCATTTCCCACTTTTTTCACATGTAATTTTACAGTTTAACAAATTAAACCAGTCGCTTTCAAAGACTTCTATATTGTCATAAATAAAATAGTGAAATTCCATGTTTTTCAATGTTCCATCATACAATAAAGCGGCATCCCTTAAAAAAGAAAATCTTACCCTTTCCCATGTAAAAGACAGACCTAGTGCATCAAACTGTTCCCTCATGTGTTGAATATTACTGCAAAATAAAAAATAAAAAAATTTATTAACTTAAAAATACTTCTATCCTGGATCATACTTAAAATCAGGTGCTTATAAATTTCTGAGAAATCAAAAGCACTAGTTAACCTCTAAACACTGATATCTCACTAACAGTGAAACTCAAGGAACTGTCAGAACACTCATCTTAAATAATAATTCTAAAAGTCCCTTGGTTCAATTTCAACGGCTGTATGTACAAGATGACGATTTTTCTTCTCTTGATTTGAGCATAACTGAAAAGCAAATATGGCACTGCAGTTTGAGGGAAACGTTCCTGAAGCACCCCTTCTCATTATTTTTAATTCTCTTTACTGCAGTTGAGCCAAAGAGCACTCTGAAATCTTCACAATGCACTAGGATGTACTTCCACAACCAGCTTAATCCTGCTCTATACTGGCAATGCTATCCTGGCTGTATTTTGCTTTGGCTCTGGTGGTCGTGTGGCTATACGATGAGTTGAATCAGCTTACCCATTCAACTGAAGACATGCCCTACAAAAAGTTCTCCAAAAACCCCGCACCAGTTTTCTTGCTTCCCTCTGACCAACAGCCTGATCACACCAATACTGTGGCCGCAAAAACAGCTGAGCCAACACAAAGGAGGTGGTGGGAACATATATCCTGAGAGGTGACAAGGAGCCCCTAAACTTCTGGTGGCAGCACAGCCAGAGATAAAACTTAAGTCAACTGTGAAACTGTAGAAGTAGACCTTGCCCCAGATGGATTATATTCAAAATGTAAAATAAGATACATCAGAATATACAGTGAAGCTTTAGTTTGAAAATGTACTAAATACAGTTTACTAAAACACTCACACCTACACAACATTCACTAGTGACCCGGTGTGAATTCATTCACATACTTTAAAATTGCTTAAAATTTCTTATGGACTTTTAACTTTCTGCTAAAATGCATTATGTCAGATAAAGTAACATCTATCCTCCCACAGTGGCTAATTTGACAGTCATGAAACCAAGCATTTAATTCTGATTCAGAACAAACTTGCACTGCTGAATAACTGCGTAACACAAGTATCCCGTATGAACGGTCGCAGAGCCCCAGTTACACTAGAAAAGGCCGCCAGCAGGGTCATATCAGTACAGGTATACCAGGAAATCCTCTTATGGTCTCTCAGCTTCCACTGGGAGAAACCATACTTTCAGTAGTACTGCTTTATTAAAGTCCCACTCAAAATGAACTGTACGAATAGAAAAATTTCAAATTTGAATGTATTTTCACAAAGCTTCTGCCACTATACTAACTCTTACTAACAAACATTTCTGTGTGTTTTGTATAAGTAACTTTGTCTTCAATTTCTGAGAATATAAGAAGTAATAGTCAATTGGAGCTCATTTTAAATCACCTCTTCAGAAAATTATGATGCTCTGAAATTTGGTTGTTTACTCCTGAACCAAGTAAATTGAAATGCGTACAGAGTGCCCCCTTTTACATGGGTGGCTGGCTCTGCTCCAGGGATGACTAAAACACATCAGGTTGCTATCACACCATCACAGCCTCACGTTCAGCTCAGTCATCCCTGCTGCAGGCACAAGAAACATTCAGGACAGGGACAGTGGAGAAAACGGGAGACAGCAATCACTTCAGTGGTCAGAATTTAAACTGCTGGTATGATGAACCAACTCGCTTCCTTAGTATAATCAAAAAAATTGGGTATGTAAATAATTTTCCTATTTGGTAGTTACTATCATCAGTCTCAATGATGATGTGCTAACTTGTCTCAGTTTGTTGTTACAATATTATTATTTAACTCTCAAAACTAGACAATCACTCTTTTCAGTACTAAGGAAATTTTCAAAGCAAAATTTTCTTCCAGTATGAAACATCTTGTACTTGTAATTACTACCTGGACTGCTTTAAGCGTATGGAACAACATGCACCTATTTACAAGGAAAGAGAAAAATAGAAGAGCACAGAAAGCAGCAGAAGAGGATCAGCTCGGGCTGTGCCCTGCCACATGCTTTTTGATACGATCCAGACAAGCAGCTTAGATGAGACAGGCTGAGCTGATAGGGCACTTTGCTACTGCAGTCCCTCTGCCCCACACGCTCACTGCTTTTCTGTTGAGCCCATTCAACTCAAGTCAGCTGGCAGAATGGCCTTCTTCCGAGTTAGCAAGCTGAGTCAGTTCAACAAGATGTCCTACCAGCGCCAAAGCTAGTACAATAGGTGAGGAGGGACCACGTAGCAGAGAGAAGGGGAAAACACTGACCCTTTTGTAGTCACAAGTATTTAATGTCAGCCTCGTTGTCTCAAAACTACAACCTTCGCTTCCTTGTGCCTCATTTGTCATGTAGGTAAGGATCACAGTAACCCCCTATCTGGTGAAGGTTCCATCAAGATAATCGAGTTAAAAATGAGGCACTCAGATTTAACAGATATGTAGATTTGTTTTACAGCTGAGCTTCAGTAGGTTTATTGAAGGAAGACAGAAATCATCAATTTACTGACCGTGCTACAATATAATTGACAGCCCACAACACACTGCACAGTGATGTTTCAGACTCTCAAAAGAACAAAACCAGGTTTTTGTGTCTTGATGGTAACTCACGCATATTCTCATCTAAACCGTACGTGAAGGAAATTTTAAAAAATGAGCATAAATAACTCAGAATTTGTGTGTAGTGCACTCATGCATTCTCCCTAATTGAAATCAGTTGCCATCATATTTTAGCTGGAAAAGTATCAAGTATCTTACCTTGATACTTTCTGGGACCAGAAGCATGAAAAAAACTTAAAAGAAACAGCATTATCAGAGAAGGAAATGGACCAAGGTCCAAAAAGATACCACAGCTAGATTACTGCACCCAGAGGACAACAAACAGCTTCACTTAAGAAGATTGGTTTCCAAGTCATTTATAGAAATTAATGCTTACTTATATAACTTTCCACTCATTTTAAAGAATATTAGGGGAATGCAGCACCCAATTCTGTGGCCCAAAATTTTCACAGAAATCAGCAGCAATAATGGCTGCTTATCACTTTCCAAGACCCAGTTTCCAATGAAAAAACTATCTTCTTCCTCTTTTGCATGGTACTGAAAACTACTAGTAAATCTAACCACGTAGCTCATAATTTTCAACTGTGTATTCCATACTAAGATTTAACTCACCATAATGAAATTCTGATTTATTTCTTACTCACTGATTTGGGTGTTTGGGAAATGTCACTCTTTCAATATTCTATCTTTCTGCAAGTTAAAAGTAATTGAGATGAAAACCTTGAAAATCATCCTGATACATTTGTTTTTTTGAAACTGAATCATGTGCACAGTCCCATAAAACATTGGCAAATAACCCTGGTTCTTTCTGTACCGTCTTTCTTCTACACTGGTTTTGCTCTGTTTTGTTGGTTTATGGAGGCCACAGTACAGGTATTCACAGTGGAAATGTCATATTATTTAAATTCATTAAAAACTACCTTTGTGTCCAGCTTGCAGGGTGAAGCCCATGTTCAACAGCAGCATTTTCTGCTGGTAAACCAAACGCGTCCCATCCCATTGGATTTATTACCTATAAGCAAAAAGGAAAAACACAATCTTATGTAACTTTCTGGAACGGCATCCACAACACACACAGGCCTCTAAATAATGAATGGTGTTTTGCATTTCAGCATATGCTTTGTCTGAATTAAACCTCTTCAAAACATGCCCACTATGGCTAGGTCTGTTTTAAAAGATGAATATAAAGCATACTTGCTCTCTACAATGTGATGATAGAGGGAGCTTAAAGTATTATGTAATAAATCCTCATGACTATTTCAATACCACGTTAACAATGACAAAAATCAATCCTTTATAAATTTGTGTGGTGGTCAAAATTAGCAGTTGATGCTACTGCTAAGCAGATCAAATATTCATCCTAAAGAAGGAAAAGAAGAAAGCAAGCAAAACTAATTGAACCAATGGTTTTGTAACTGTACCTGATGTGTAGCCTACTTTTTTTTTATTGTTGAAGAAAAAAAAAAGAAAAATACCCTATGATAACCTTAAATCCAACAGCTAAAATGAAGAGAATGGGGAAAACCGTTTTAGTCAAATTTTACTAAAATACCTGTTGTAAATACAGATTGCAGACTGACAAATTGTGTTTCATGACCACAAACAAACAAAGGTGGAAAAAAACGTTTACTACAAAACATAACAGATAATTTCTGTTGAAATAGATATATATCTTTCCTATTAACATGCAAATTATTTAGAACAATAATCTAGCAATACAGTAAGTATTCAAAAAAACTGTTTAATAACCAGGGAAAGAAAGGCCAGTACTTAAGATGCTGTCATTAAACACACTTATGTATTGGATACCTCATAAAACCAATCCCATTTCTTACACCTACAAATGGGCTATAAATTCAATAACTATGATTAAAGTTACACAAATTTAACAACAGCAAAACATGATTGAGTAACATTTTACAGGTTGTAAGAAATCAAAATTTTACCCATAAAATATAAAGAACTTGTTCTTTAGTGGCATGTAAGCAAACAAGCAGTAAGAAAGCAAGCCCAGCAATATTAATCTCATAAGCTATATCCATGCGAAAAATCTGTTCATTTCCAAAGCATAAGAGCTACTTTTGTCACTGGTTTGAATTATTTTTATTCTTCTTTGCCACAACGTTCCAATCCTCTGACTTCAACGGATTCTTTCCTAAAAAATATTTCAGAGACATGTTTATAAAGATGCCCTAGGCACCAACTCAGTGTAAAAGCAACAGAATTTAACAGATGTGACTCCTCAGCATTCTTGTTTTCAATACTGGGCTAAAACTAAACTTGCTGTATATCATTACTTTGCTGGTGCAGCAATAAAACCAAAGGTATTAACCTGTGATCAGCTCTGATTCAAGCCAGTACAGTAAGGGTCTATGCACAGCACATTTTTTATCTATAAATCTAATAGAAATTGGAATGCTATGCTGTGTTACAAATTTTCCCTATAATCAGGCAGATTATTGTTCCTCGTATCTCAGTGTCAAAAAATGTAAGAGTCAGATTTCCTAACTCCCCACTTCCTCACATTATAAAGCGTTACATGGAAAATCTCATTTGGAGCCTAAACCACTTGCAAACACCCCGTTGAAGCACACCTCTCCCCAGCCCTTCTCCTCTCCCTCCTCCCACCAGTAATCAAAACTATTGGTATAAAAGAGAAAAAAGAAGGATAAACTTTACATAAACTACAAATCTCGATAGAATTTTTTAAAGACACACTGAAATATTAGTTTCTGCAGCTCTGCTCTTTTTGACCCCTACTATTGCTGACCACCTGTCTCTGGACAGAAAGAATGAAATAAACCCAGTTTTTTTTTTCATGTATAATATAATACATATTTTCTCTTATTTAAACCCTGTGTGTTTAGACAAATGCCCTACATTCGCATCCCTACAAATGCCTTCTTTTACTGCAAGCTGATGCACATTAACTGACATTACAAAAAGTACTCTTGATTAATTTTTGTAAAATTTGACTTCTGATTATAGATATAGATAGGCAATCAAAAGCAAGGCACAATCTCACTCCTCACGCTCCTGAGCAAAAGGATCTGGGAAGAACAGCTTCACTACTGGCTACAGGCTCCCCAAAAGGGCTGACTGATGCTCCAGACAGCTAATGTGCAGACATTTTATCACTGTACCATCAGTGCTAGCAGGAGTTATCTGCTCACACAGATCTTCCCAATTCTAGCATGTCTATTAAAAATATACAGTGTATTCACTTATCACATTCAAAAGACAGTTCAATTTAACAGCCAATAGCATTCCTCAAGTTAAAGGGCTGAAGAAATACACTAATTCAAGTTTCAATCAGAAACCTGAATTTAAAGAGACATTAAAAATATCCTCAAATTAATCTCCAGGATAGATCTATTTATGTAGTTGCTATAGAGATGAATGTAACACGCACAGTCGTTTAGAAAATGATTTCAAGTTTATTGTCTCTTTTACTTCTCTACCGTGAATGGATTTGAAAGGTTTGTGAAATGCATTTGTCTAAACAATAGGTCAGCTGCTTCTGGCTGGAATGTATGTTACGTATCTGCAGTGAAAATGCCACGGTCTCCAGGCAGCACTTGGCGTTACATCTTAACTTTACTTAGCCAACATAAAACACAAGGCTGAGATTAACTATATAGTTCTGAAAAGCATCAAAAATCTCAAGAGACATGGAAGGAGAGAAGAAAATACACTACTAACATGTCAGAAGTTGGCACAAAGAGTAAAGGAACAGTTCAACTGTTCAAAACAAAGAAAAAATAGGAAGAAAGCAATTTTGAAGACCAAAGGGTATTCCTTGTAGCTCCTTGATGGGTTGCTCATAGGCTAGCAGAAAACATGGCTGCTCCCTCCAGCATTACAGACGAGCAGAAGAAAAGAAAACAAAGTCAGCCACTTTCTTGAATGCTGACTTGATTGCTTCTGACAGCAGTCTCTAAACCTTATGCAACTAAGGGATCAATTCTGCTCACTGGAGTGACCATTCTTCCAAGCATCGCTTCTCTGCACAGACAGTATTTTCTCTGAGCCACAAGGAGAACGAAAAACAAATAATGAACGTATCTTGTAGAGAGAGGAGGCCTGCATACGTCCGAGGATGACTATACCTGGTAGAGAAGGCAGGATGTAGTTTCAGTCATTTTAAGACAGCAGAAGCCAGTACTATCTCCAAAGGCAGCTGTGTGTTTCTGGTCTTCATGACGAAGTAGACAGGTAAACTCTTCCTGGTTAAAGACTAGGTTAGTCTTGAACACAGAGAGCTTAAGATCCTCAGAAGTTCACATGATCCGGCAGGATCAGCTATGAAAGACTGGCATTTTCTACCACTCAACATAATGTGTTTTGCACAGGAACATGAAGTTGCAAGGAAGTGATTTATTACTGTGGGGGGAACAAAGTCCTTGGTAACTACCACACTGAGCGGTCTTTTCAGCAGCAGATCATTAAAAAGGAAAACAGTTGCATCTTGAAACGTTTTAGATCCCAAAGATTTCTGAGTTCATATTAGCTTGAAGCATCGTTGTAAGAATCATTTCACAGCATGGTCAAAAATCTGTTGTTAATGATGGCTAGAGCTCTTAATGTGATTGTGGGACGAAGCAGAGGAAGACACAGTAACTCCATTAATTCATTTCTGAGATATCACTCTTCCTTTCAGAGGATTTTCATCTATTCACTGCTGTAACAATCAGCCCATCACACCGACATTAGTAGGCGAGATCAGCAGGTACTATATAACACAAAGCTGACAATGATCTCATAACACTGTTCTCTGCCTCCGTCAACATAATTGGGACAGACTATTTTAGTGAACTTTCCTTAATGTTTGTAAGGAAACAAAGAACTTGTTTGCTCTCCTGATGTGCTCAGTATGTCTCAAAACTATGACCAGGGAGCTGATGTATCTTTCCTACATCCAATTGATGCATTCTAAATTTTAAGAGAGAATCAGTGTCAAAAATGCCTGTAAATAAATATATTTATTTCAGAGAATGTGTGATAAGAGAAGAGAACCAAAAATGAAAATGAAGAAGTTTGCTGACAGATTAGTGATTTGAATCAATACAGCAAAGTCTACATTCCTGTCTCTAGTTATAGCCCCATGACACACCCGACGGGAACTAACCAAAACAGGCTGACAAAAGAGGTGATCCGTGGTCACGAGTTCCAGCTTCCAGAAAACACCCCTGGCTCCAGCAGCAACTTTCTGTTATCCTCCCTGCACTCGATCTCACGATTGTGCAACCACGCACCAGTGAGACAGTAAGGACACGCGATTGGAGAGCAGAAAGGAGAGGACAGCTGCTCCTTCCACTGGCCACCTACAGTTAGGCTGAACATGTTGAAAATCTGATTTGTAAATCGACAGATTACAGATACAAAACATTTTAAATACAGAGCTCCACCTGAATGCAGCCTAGATTGTCTTTTAAGTGTACTAGATAATAAACACCATTATGCAACAGCTAAAAATTACCACCACCACCAAACAAAAAAACCTTAAGCAGACAAGGCACACCTGGAAATAGATTAAAATAATGAATTTTTGACTAGTGTGTACATTCCACCAAGGATTATTTCCATGATCCTCTGCAACAGAATGCTGCATATTTGCATTCTGATAAGGCACTTTCAAATTAAAAAATAATCAACCCACACAGATTTCTATCAAAACATAACTCTGCTTATAAAATGCTCTCATTTCTTTCTTGTTCTTACAAGTTATAAAATACAAGAAATTATTCTACATCCACACACTACAAACATTTAGAAAACAAAGGTGTCATCTCCTTAATATCACACATTCTTGTATAACATAATGCATTTAAAATAATATCTCATTTTCTCTCTCTTTCAAAATGAAACAGAGTGAGCTAATTAACACTTTCAGTACTTGCTACTGGAAAACTAAATTTAAGTAAGATTCAGTTCACATAGGATACTTGTAATACCTTCTACTTGGTTTATACCACAGAAAATAACCTGGCAAAAGGACACAACAGCCTCACACAAAAAAATGGTGAATAGCAGCTAATGATGATTGCAAAATGGAACTGTATTGAAATAATTCATCCTACTGATGAATTCATTATAAAGTTTTAAACTTGCCTGTCTTTCTTCAATACCATTCACTTTTGCAATTTCAAGAGTATTAAGATTCACTGCTGGAAGGGAAAACAATTAATGAAAATACATCCAATTTAAAAAAAGACGTTCTGGATAAAACGAAAATGCTCTTTAAGTCATTTTGGGATACTGTGGAAATATCACTGACAATATTCCAATCCCATCTATCAAGATGCAAGTATAAATTAAGAAATCTGATCCTAGTGTACAGGAATTTCACCCCTAATTGTCCAATGATCATTCTCATTTCTGCACAACTTGCATATGACAGCCTCGCTGTGGTGTCAATTACAATTCAAAATTTTATTAAAAAGATATCACAGAAACTATTGAAATGATTAACTCTCTGTTTACTGATTGCTAAGGGAATTAGTCTTAGTCCTCTGAGAGGCACAAATTATCCACTTGGAATTTATCAAAGACATAATAATGATAGCATGATAAAGCAATGGTAAATCCTTTTTCCCCAAGCAGCAGCAGACTGGGAATGCCATGGTGAAAATCACCATGAATATCTCTATAATTTGTACATGCACTCTCAAATAATGAATAGGAAATCTCTTAACTTCTTACAGAACTCGAACATTTGAATTCACAACATGCATGTAAATTTACAGAGAAAACACAACCAGAAACTTCACGGTTTAGTTCTGGATTGGTTTATTAATAGATACAAAATTGTAATTTAAAATATGTAAGTTACTTTTTCATAGCATTTTTAAAGAAATATGTTTGTAATAAGATCTGTGACTAGAACTCTACATACACAAAAATTGTTTTAATTGCACTTCAAGAAAAATGTTATCCTTAACACATTTTCAAAAGAGACTAGCTCACTGCATTCACGCTAAGTAATCTATATGGTTTACAGTTCCCACGCAAAGACTTCAAACTTCATCTTCAGTAATTAGAATGTAAACAACTTATCTTACAACAGATGTACTCTACAAATCATTCACCCAGCAACCTAACCCAAGTGCATGACAGAGTTTGTTTCCCATGCACTGCCTACAGGTACTTGCAGAGTGTTGGGACAAGACAATGCTTCACTGATCAGACCTTCAGGTAAAACAAACGGGACTTCCATCACCCATCGGCACAATCAGCGTGCTGGCCCCATATCGATACAACTCTGGCCCCATATCGATACAACTCTGATTACCTCTGTGCTGCAATACACACATCCATGCACCTCCTACTGCAAACTCTGCGAAGCTTACCACTCATCAGTACATTGAAAAAGTGACTGCCTATTGCCATGTTACACTTGCATTAAATCCCACCCCTGCACACCATTTAATAAATGACCAGCCAGTCACGTATTGCAGAAAAGGCTGCTGCTCATTAGGTAATCTGTTTGATTGCCCATTTTCAGTGTCATTAGTCAGCAATATCAGCTACGGCTTTATGTTGAAGCAGTATTTCTTCCAAAAACAAGGGGGAAAAAAAGAGCAACAAATATTTATTTTCCCACTTAAAATGCTGGTGAAGTACAGGTTTCTGGCAAATATCAGTAGATTTCAATGCGTATTACCTTTCTAGAACATTTTAATTGAAACAAAATCAGATCCTATCCAGCTAGAAAAATGAAACGGTAATGTTCCATTTTAGAAAAACAAAAAAACAGCATCCAAATGATTTAACACTTTCCCAGTTAAGACTTCAAACTACCTCCAATATAAAGAAATTACACAAATGCATTCCAAAGAATGGTTCCAATTTAATAAAGGAGCTCTAATCCCTTTATAAGGGCATTCAAGCTTATCCTTACTCAAGTATTATAACAAATAAGACAATTCTTGCCTGTCCAGATTAAACCAATATGAAACTAATTTACTATTTTCTCATGAAGGCATTCTCTAAGAAAAGTATCTCCACCTTATTCAACATACGTAACTCTCTTACTCAACAATATATACTAGTCAGCTATGTACACACCATATATATCTTCCCTCATACCTCCACTCACTGTTTATTAGACAACAAATATAAATTGTAGCCTGAAGTTTTCCCTGGGAACTGTAGGTCTGAATGTTTTTGCCTGTCTTTTTCATGGTAACAGCCCATCATTCCTCGTTGCCTTACAAACACTTTCAAGCTACCTGTATGGCTTCTAGCACAGTTTTAAGACTTGCTAACCAAGGTCAGTTCTACACCTATATGTAAAGATATAGTTCCTAAGATTATCTGCAACGACTCTTCCCTTTTGTTAGTTTGGAAATGATGGAAGCAATTACTACTCAAAAATCTTATCCTAAACTTGCCTTGAATACCTGAAATGCATTCACTTCTACTTAGAATTTTGACTTGGGAAAAATTAGCAGTCCCTGAACTTCCAAACATGGAATATTAAAGCTGAATTTCCAGACAGGGGAAAAAAACCCAAAACAATAGAATAACTTTAAAATTATGCATACTAATATTTTTTGTTTCTAAAGCATTCTTTCTTTTTTCGTACTGAAGAATTCCAGTAATTCCCTGAATACAGGGAAAAACATTTTTCTTGGGTATATCAAATTTTATGTATGGTAAGACATAACCATGTCATAGCCTATAACCATCACAATAAAGAAATCTTTAACAGATTGGACAACTGTGGCAATGGCCAGAGAAAACACCTAGAGGCTGATAAATTAATTGCGAGGAGAAAATCACTTATAAAGACTTTAATTCTAAGTTATGGAGAAATTAGCATGGCATAAAGAAAAGGTTTTTTAAGGTAAATATAAGTTCCAGCAAGTTAATATACATCACTAGCACAATAGCTCTTAGTCTGACATACTCAGAAAATCATTTGAAAGATCTTTAATGTCTCTTAATCATAGATGAAGGTTAAATTCTTTGGCTGCCCACCTTTAGTCATAAATAGATGTTCAAAGCGGTTAACACAACAGAAGATACATGTATTTATAGAAATTCAGCATGTTCTGCAGGCACTCTAATACCCTTCAAAATCATTTTTACATGAAATGTAAAACTAAGCTGAAATGCAAGATTTGAAAACTTTAAAAGACTTTCAAAACTTTTCTGGAAAAAATAGGCAATCATGGAAATAAAAACTTGCCTTCACAGTGGCTCTTGTATTTCATTGCAATTATATTATCTTTTCATTTTCTTCAAAGGTTTCTATTAGAGGTGCTTACTTCCCTTATATTCAAATGCTAACACCTACAGCATCCTACTGGATGTAGACAATTATTTTCACTTTATTTTAGCTAGTAGAAGAGGAAGCATATTTTCGTCTCTCTGAACAGAAATTTAGTGGATATCGCCACTGTTATTGATGAGAGATGAGCTATGCCCTGAAATAACATCTCCAGTGGTCTTAACATCAAGCAGGAATCAAAAGTCCCTTCACGAGCTCAGCTGGCTCAATTTTTTTAATGAGATCTAAGTTCCGGTTTGGAAAGATTAGTATTACAACAGACATCAGGGTTTTTTTCTCATTCAAAGTCTAAGGTAGTTGTTTCTTTTTCCTGTAATTTTAAAAGCATGAGAATGCATTTCTGTAAAGCAACAGCACATATTCAGTGCACGGCATGTTCATCATTGGCATAAAATACATAGTATTTGGAAAGACAGCACACTGAATAATTCAGTGACAATACCTTTTAAGGGTCTCATGGATGGTGATAAATCCAGGAAACACTACACTTCTGCAACACTTGTAGCAAGGAAATTGCACTTAGTACAACAACCAGCAACATTTATTTCTCCATTTCATCTTCTTTGTACTCTTTTGAGGGTCTGATTCCTATATTCTTGAACTGCTCCTTCTCTCTCGTACATTAGAGAGAATTCCTTTCCGAGTCTCATCCTAGATTCTTGCCTACGGCTATTTCTTTCTTTTTGTTCCCTACCCTAAAATTGGGTGTTCTCCTTCCATATTCCTCCTTCCTACTGTTTCCCAGATTCTTAACATTTTCCCCCTACCAAATGTTGTCTTCTCCCTTGATATGGTTGTCATTCAGGCCACAATTCTCCCACACCTTCCTCACATCCTTCAAATTTTACCCGCCAGTCTTTACTGCAGCACACCAGTTAGGATCCCACCTGTAGACAGCAGGGACTAGGCTCTCAGCTACACCTTCTACCTACCGGAGAGAGAGAAGGCAGCGAGGGAGAAATTATGGCAGGCAGGGGCTGGACTGGGAAACAAAGGAACGCAGAAGGGAAAGTTGATTTCTCCTTGTAGATGTGGCAAGTAGTTAGTCTTAGCCTACTTCGTAGACTTGCACCCTCAGAAGACAGCATTTCGTACGTATGAGCAAGGCTGAAATACGCAAGTCAAAGGGTCAGCCACTACAGAACAGAAACTTCTACACCCAGGTGACGTGACGTGTGACGGGATCCCATTCATCTCATGAGAACGGGTTTCCCTCCAGGCTGGCACAGAGGAGCAGGATGTCCCCTCCAAGTCTGACAAAGGACATCAACCTTTTGTCAGGAGCAGAAGAGGTGAAAGGAGTTGATTTCTGTGGCGTCTGTTTTCTCTTGCCAGCTACACTTTTTTCTCCCCCATGGTCCCACCTAGATGGTCTTCAGTCTCCTCTCATGGAAATGGTGTGGCGCACATGTCTCATCGACACTGTGCCGTACATCAATAGATTCAGGCGGCCGATACAGCATCAGCTGTATCATTTGAGATAGCTTCTAATGATTTGTTATCAGCTGTGAGTTCTGGTCACCACCTGTTTTTAAAAAGTCTCAAATTTCAATATTCAAAGCTCCACAGGTCATTATCTATGTATTTGTAGCATACATTCCAACTAAGCCTTCACCTTCATGGATTTTGGAAAATACTAATTTTCTGACCAATTGTGATATTAAAACATCAAAAAAACACCGAGTCCTACTGCTGATCTTTTCTTACCTGCATCCCTCTCATTTTCTGGAACCGAGCTACTGCATCACTGATGGTGTAGACACGAACATGGCCCATGTGAAGCTTTCCAGAAGGATATGGGAACATAGAAAGCACATAAAATTTTGGTCTTGATTTCTAGAAAGAGATTTTTAGAAAGTTATAACTGCGAGTTAGCATTTCACTTGAATAAACACACATACACATTATAAACTACACAGTGCCATGAAAAGACACGAGGTTCTGCTGGAACTGACCTAAGTGAGCACTGACAAAGCTCCTAGGATCAAATTCTTTGGGGCTGTAAATGGAGATGTTTTACCAGACTTTGCCGCCATCTCATCAATTTATACTGGTATTTATATGACACTTGAAAATTGTTTTTAATCAACTTTCACTCAACAAAATATATATTAACATAACTGCAGCTTAACAAATCACCATTCCCTACCATAGCATCTGTCACTGATTATCTATGCGATCCTAATCTGTCCCACCAAAAAATGAAAACATGACAAATTAAGTGTTTTACTTTGTATTTACATCAAACATGGAGCTCACTCAGGGCCAGCTGCTTTTTGTCAGCTGAACTACAGTAACTCACTGAGTGACTAAATCAATCATTTGCAATTGCATGAACATCCACTGAAGTGAAACTGTTCAGTTCCACTACGTACGCTCAGATCCAAAGACATCTTACAAGCAGTATCTTACACAGTGAAAAGAAAGCAAAAATTTCATTCAGTTAGGTTTGAGTAAATTGACAAAAGTTACACAGAAATCAAACAGTATCTCTCTCACATAAATTCTTCCTAATACATCTTGAATTTATCACTGATACATGCTTGGTAAGTTCCTATATTATTTTTCTTATGTTAATAATGCAAAAAAAAAATTATGGGCAGCTTTTACTATACCGAACCAAACTCTATTAATATTTATCAAATACTACTTCTTTATCACTTTTGTCCAATAGCAAAATTAGAAACAATCTGAATACTTCATTGCAGCACTATATGCTGCACTATTTGTCTCTTAATATGAGATGGTATTAAATTTACTTCAACTGTAAGAACAAAAATATCATAAAAAATACAATTTAGAACTTGGCATATGTATGAGATATATATGATACCTATGTATACATGTATTGTCAGGTATCAAAGGCACAAGCCTAAATTAATGCTTTCCCTGCTACATGTATGCATACACACCATTTTCACCTCAGTTTTCTTCCTCAGAAAAAGCAAGCCCTTTTTCTCTCTTTGACACTTTGATAGAATCAATTTTTTGTTGGAGATGGGGCACATTTTAGGAAAGAAGAACAAACATGAAGGGGCACAAAAATGTTTTTATACCTATGTCACTGAGCATAGTTGTGAAGGCAAAAAGAGTCAGAGACTGAGATTACAATTGTTTTCAAGATCTTTTATTGCATGGGAAAACTTCTTTGTTTTTCTGGAAGTCACTCATTATTTCTAAGACACTGTAAACCAGAAAATATTCTTTAAAAATCATATTCCCTTAACAGAGATTTTAATGAGTCACAGTGTGTAGTGTAATAGATTTGTCATAACCATTGGGAACAAGATCTTTAGAAAATTAATTGTTTACAAAAGTTACGAATGTAAGATATTTCTTTTAATACTTCAAATAATTAATTCCTAAATGTGGTATAATATACAAAGAAAGAACTGATTACTTAAACACTTCCTAAATTTACAAGCACATACTTTGCTGATTGTTATTATTTTTCCACCTATTTCATTAACTGTTTTTAATAATCTGCTATCATATAAAAGTATTTTCCCCTGAAATGTAACATGCGTCTCATCATTATAAGCCAACTGTACTAAGTAATTTTCAATTAATTTCATTCTGAGAAAATAAAAATATCAAACATGTAATTTCCAAATTTCTCATAATGCTTACATCAGTTTCTGAAATTTTGCAGAACTGATCCTTTATTCTTGGGAGCCACCAACTTTCAACTCTTTTTCTTGTCTCCAACCCATAGCTTTTTTCCCATTTCCCCGTCTCACTGTAAATAGTTCTGACACAAGCAGGAACCAGTCTTCTCTGCCATTTAATTAATCCCAGGAAGCCATTTAGTTCTCTCTTCAAACATGAAGAACAAGAGCCAACTCTCTGACAAACCAACCGCATTCTTAAGGTTATGATATCTGAAAAAGACAAAAATATGCATTTCAGTCTACAATATGTAACAGGAATTCAGTGGTTATTACCATTATACAGAAACCTGGTAGCTATGAAACACATTTTAGCTTGATTTAGATTATTTGGCTGTTTTCCATGGTACTTGCATTTTACTCTCATGTGTTTGAATTATAAAAGCATTTATTTTTTAGCCAAGAGAACCAACTGTGGCCCTTGCACAGAACAAAACTGTTCTGTTAGACTTCTTCTCTAATACAATTCTTGCATTCAATCTCCCGTAAAAGCAGGATTAGTCAACTGAAGGTTCAAGAAATTCGGCTGACTGAAGAGGAGAAGATGGCTAACAGGGTGTTAGTAACAATTCACAACGAAAATAGGCAGACGAGGAAGTTGGATGACTTCATCACTGAAAAGAGATGGGGGAGGATGACTATAATTAGTAGATTTCAACTAGTTATTCTAAACTGAGTATTTTGCTAAGAGCTTCCTTGTCAGTAGTTTTCTGCAAGAACTACATGAGAAACTTACACTGTTCAAACAAGATATAATTTAACAAGTCAAGCAAGTAAAGCAATCCTGTTCTCTTTCAACTAAAAATCCAGTTAAAAGAACTCCTCATACGCTTTAGAGTGAGTCTTCTAAAATAAAACTACTCAGATGTGAGAAAGATCAAACAGTCTGCAAGTTTGTCTCAATAGGGTATTTACCAATTTTACTTCCTACAGTAGGAAATATGGCATTAAAAAAACCCCTATGTTGAGAAGACTTCTTCCCCATCTTCACCCCTAATTCCTTTTTTAAAAATCTTGTTTGTTTATTTATATCAATATTTCCTATCCTCTATGGTTGGGGCTTTTTTTCCCAAATTCTGGCCTGTACACTTGACTGTTGTACCAAGTCAGCTATTTCAGTCAGTTCATAATTTTTCTTGCAGAGTTACATCAGTAAAATCTCTGTGTAGAGAAACTCTGTATAAGAAACAGTTTTATTTATTTCCCATTTGATAGCAACATCATCAGCAGAAATAATTGCTATACCACCTAAATTAGGTCCCCAGTACAGCTAGTGGGAGTTATATTTCCTTAACATTCACCATGTATGCATACACAAGCCCTCATTGCCTGTATCATTACATATCTAAAGAATTGCACCTTTTCTCTGTTACTTATCAAACAGGCTCTTTCAAACATTTTTCATTTACATAAGTCATGCCAGTGCCTTGAATTTTTTGTTGCTAATCTCTAAAATCTCTCATATTTGTAATAATAACATATCCAAGACTGAACTCAGGATTGCCAGTGCAGGTGCACACTTATTATTCAGGAGACACCTAATTTCTCCCCCTCCATAACCTTACACTTCTTCACTCAGCTCAAAATTATGAAGAACATTCCAGTACTTCACTGTTTTGCTTATTTTTATGAATTATTTCCTTATTACTTATTTCTATTATTTCAATTTATTTTACAACAGAAAGGAGCGCTTCCCTTTCTTACGGTAGACCACTTTCAGCATTGCTGATTTACAATATAAATATATTTTAAAACACGAATGTTACATACATATGAATCCTTCGTTGAGGACAGAAAGGAAAGACACAAGCTAGACCCTGCATCTGCGCACAGCTCCAGAGAAGCCCGCCTGCCAACGTCACACCTGCCAGGGCACATTTGGGTGATCCCAGGCCCTACAGGTCACGCGAGCAGGGGACAGAGCAGTGGACGTGAGTGGGAAAGGGGCCGCAGCCTGGGTCACGCAGCGTTAAAGCAAAGCTCATTTAAACACATGGACTTCCAGGATGAGAAAGAGATCTGCGGTCTCTTTAAGGCTCCCAGACCCTCTCATGCACAAGATGCAATGATCAGCAATTCACACGTTGGGCCAAGCAAGGACATGTAGCACATGCAAGAGATGTGGCCCTAAGTGGTTTTGCCTCTCCAGGCTTGTGTGCATGGGACTAGGACAAGAAGGGTGCCCCACTTCGCCGCAGTTATGGCCATCCCAGCCCAGTGCCATGTGGGTCTTTGAAGGAGCACGTTACAAGCCAAAACTGTCCAACTCTGCAAGGTGTGCCAAGAAGGAAGGGGCTGGACTGACGGAGGAACAAAGGTTGAGACCCTGCTTTGGAAAGATGCAATAAGCACACAGGAGAGGAAACCTTCACTATTTTAAGGTACTGAAAATTGCTTGGTAAGGGCCAGCACATTTCACTCACCCTATAAGTGAAGCATGCAAATTCCTTTCTTTTTCCTGCAGACAAATTTGAATTAAAAAAAAGAAAACAAAAATCTCCCTACATTTTTTCCCCATGCAGTTTATTAGCAAAAGCCCTGTGGGGGCGGCCCGCTGCTGGAGAAGCGGGCACGGGAACAGGCAGCTCCCTCAGCGGGAAAGAGCGAGCAAGAGAGCAGTCACAGCGAAGGGGGAAACTTGGGGAGGGATGCTGCGGGGCACAGGGCCGCTGGCAGAGCCGGCTGCGAGGGGCTGCCCCGCTGGCAGCGGCACGGTGGGGGCAGCGAGGCTAACAGGGCGAGGGGAAGGGCGGAGGGGCGCACGGCTGCAGGCACCA